TTCTGATCATGTGTTGCTTTGGGTTGTTTTGCAAGTTATGCAAACAGCATGTATCAGTGAGTTACTCTTGCCTCCAGTGCGATGCTACGATTTCCTACTTTAGACTTTCACTGCAGTGTTTATTGAATGTGTTCACATCCCCCTTTGGAAGTTCATTTGGCTTTTTGCATAAGAATTCACAATCCAATTAAGAAGTTATGGCTGGACTTGAAGAAGGCTGCACCCTCAGGAGTCCTGTGCAGCCTGACAGAGCGTTAGCAAAGAAGAACGGGCTTCACTGAGACCACACAGGCTCAAAGGTGCATCTATGAAATACTGACTTGTTGGGGGTGAATGAATATGCAACCACTTATTCTGTGTTTCATATTTTATATGAACTAACATGTACTGGGCCATAATTCCAACAAACTATTGTGAGAAGCTTGTGGAAGTGAACCCAGACCATCGTACAGTTTAAAGGCAATGCAAAGGAAATGTATGTAAACTCCTGACTTTGAAGACAGTAATTTAAAAATAAATCTATAAAAAATTCTCTCTGTCATTGTTCTGGTGTTTAGCAGACGGTAATCCTAACTGAGCTAAAACAGGAAAGGTTTAGTCACCTTCTATGTCAGATAGTGAGAAACAAAAAGGTCTTTTTATACAGTGAATGTAGACTTATGGTTTCAACTGCAGTATATTTCCTTTGTATCACGTCACTAGAATGGTGTCGTGCATCTGTTTGCATTCAGCATGCTGCTGATTCGATGCATTCAGATGGAGAGGACGCGCTATTTACTTGAATTCAAAGGAAATGCGTAATTTTATTGAAGTCCATTTCATGTCAAGGTGACTCTGCTCATCCTGAGCATCACTCCAGCAGAGTCACATAACCTGCATGTCATTGGAAAATAAAAGGCTAAATCCGTCTGTATTGCTATTTATCCACCATGCATGCTGTCCACTTCTAGAGCAGAATAACTCAAACAAAATCATGTTTTCAGGAATAGTCAGATGATTTATTTCAGTGAGTCCAGTACTGACAACAGCAGCTTTCTATCAAATCAGATTCACAACATTATCATTATTATACATCAATATGGTTTAAAGAGATATCAGATTTTTATTTTTTTTTTTTTACATGGGAGTGACAAAGAAACTCCTGAAAGTTGTGTCGTACAAAGATGTATGTTTGCAGCGTCTCCCGTCCTCGGCTCCAGAAACCAGTATTTTTTTGACAGCTTTTCAAAGTCCATTAATTTTGACATTAAATAAAAGATTTGATGAAAGTTAAATGTAAAAACTAATTACCCTTAACATGATCTGAAAGTAGCAATGGATTCTTCCAACTAGAAACTGAGTTACTGGTAACACAACAGGATTCCAGGATCCGCTTTGCTTTGTAGTTACTTTCTAAGTGAGTACTTTCATATCTGATGCCAGTCATTTATGACATTACAGATACGATTACACAGAACACACAGGTTCTGTAGGTATTGCTCCTTCCTGTTTAATCCATGTGGCAGAACTGGACTACGTTAGAACATCATGCATCTAATGCACTCTCACATCTACTATAAGTGCTGTAGCAGGACTTTACTGGACGGCATAAAATAGAAACCGAATGAAACACAAACAAACCAACCTGGAATTAAACTCCACCTGCAGTAACGTCCCCAGAACTCTCTTTTCAGCCAGACCCACTCCAGTATTCAAAGGAAAACTTTACACAGGGAGGAACACATTTGTTTTCTCAATATTTGTCATTTCTATTTATTCACAATGCATGCTGTTCACTTCTATATCAGAAGATTTAGAAGTCTTTTTTTCAAAAAATGAAAGTCAGACAGTTTATTTCAGTGAGTATCCAGAACTGACAACAGCAACTTTCTATCAAATCAGATTCACAACTTCATCATTATTACACATCAGTGAGGTTCATATCTATAGAGGGGTAGTAGGGCAGTAAATCATGTGCCTAAATATCAATTCTGTCTCCCAAGAGGGGAAAAATAACTTCAGAGTTTTAGATTTTTAATGTCGAGAGATCAAGAACCCACTGAAAGTTGAATGGTAAAACGATCCCCAAATATGCGTGTATGCAGCCATGCACACATACACTTGGTCTCCTTTCTGCAGATGCAGCACCACCCCGTTTCCTCCATTGTCTGCTGTGTCTTTCTTTGATATGTGGTCACTGGTCATGACAACCAGCTTGTAGTTCTTGTAGAGATACAGCATCGCCTCACAGTCTCCTCCAGCATGATAGAAGAAGCTGAAGTAATAAATACCTGCAACAGGTGCTGTGAAGATACCTGTGAAAGCAACATCCAGAAATGGAATCATTCATCATTTTCATGCCCAAACTTCACCTGTTAGTATTTGTCTTGTGTGATTTCTTTACCTTTGTGTTTGTTGTAAGAGTTGCCAACGTTTGTAATGACTCTTTTGTAGAGCAGAATTTTGTCGGTGGTGTACGGTCCGATGGATCCGTATCGTCCTATTGCCGCACTGAAAGCCACCTTAAAGGTCACTGTGTGCACAAAGAGAAGTGCATTAAAACACGCATTATTCAGTCTGAATTAACACTAAAGCACAGATGAAATCTTCAAGGTTTACCGTACCTATCCTCTTCAGCTCAGCGGTCAGGTCCACGTTCTCCTTCAGTTTTCGTTCCAGATCTTCCACTTTATGTTTCACTTTGTGAAGCTCTGCCTGACTCGCGCAGGATTCAGGGCAGGGAGGTTTGTACCCGGCTACAGTCAGGCCGCAGCAGAAAAACATCAGCAGATAAATGGACAGAATCATCTTGTGTGGTGGAACGCGCTCAGCATCTGATTCATCTGACTGCTGGTCGCTGATATAACTAACATGAATGTTTGTTTAGCGATGACACGAAACACCCAAATTATTTAGGTTTAGCTTGTTCCTGTTTGATCCAGGTGGCATCTATGTCAGGTCACCTTGCTCTAATCCCAGCGAGCAAACAACATGCTGCTTTGATTTATTGCCACATTTAAAACCAGGCATTCTTCTCAATCTCTGTGGTCAGGTTTTAATCCACATGTGAGACTTTTCTCATGTGCACACACCTCATCTTGTTGCTGCAGCTGCATTGTATTTTCTTACAGACTTTGATAAGTTGAAATTTATAAGCAGCTGAATGCAAACTGGTTAATATTTAACTGTTGACTTGTAACGAATGACCGTGGAACTGTTCTGTCAGAGTGTCTCTTTACCGCTGAAGGTCATTCATGTTTCTG